CAAATCACAAATTATCCATAAATAACATGATTAATTGAAAGCTTCTTCCTTTCAATTAAGTTTCTTCACTCTCCACTCGATAACGTCAACTTCATTCTACACAACCAGAAATAAAAAAATTAGACATGTCTCCACAAACATAAATAAGATTAGTTGTTTAGAATGTTAAATATACCGAGAAAATTAATTATATGGGTGTGGGAGGGTACCCATGGGTCGGGTTTACTTAAACCCAAACCCAACCCAACACGGTGAATAGTGAATGGGTTTAAACCCAAACCCGGCCCAAAACCCGTCAACACGGATTTTACCCGCGTTGACCGGGTTGGGTCGGATGGGTACCCGTGGGTTCGGGTTTTTTTGCCATCCCTACTAACCATGGTTTAGGATACCGGCCGGTTATGATCATGCTGCCGGTTTGCTAGAAAGGAAAGAAAAAACGTCTTGTCCCGGCCTCTCGAAGTCTTATTCGAGCCATTCGTCGTTCCCAATTCCAACAGAGGTTGTCGCCCGCCGTCCCCCCCCAACTAGAATCGCTTACATTTCTTGCCATTTCGCCGTTATGATTGATGTTCTTTATTTGCGATGTCGATCCGCCAAGATGACGGTGAAACGAGAGAGAAGGAGTAGGTATGTTATAGTTTGTCATAGGGGGAGCAGAAGATGGTTAGCGACCAAGATCGGAATGAAGAAGGACTAAAGGAGATGGAATGGTCGTTTTTTCCAGAGGAAGAAGGTTAAAAACAAAAGCGGCTAGGGTTTATTTAGAGATTAAGAGATAAATATATATGTCTAACTGTTCAAATGACCAAACTATCCTCTTATGGCTGAAGCCTTGATATTACCCTCTTTCTCTTGACACAACGAAACGACACGAAAAAAGGAACACATCGATTAAAAAGTAAAAACATTAACCTTAGCGTCCTGTCATAAGCAAATTTATATTCTCTTTCTCGCGCACTAGGATACCTGGGCCTATATATGGTTGTTAATCTTTGCCTTCACTTATTTTATATTATTAATATCTTTAACAACTTTCGACAACAAAATTTAGTTTATCATGAAATGTCAATTTCAAACCGCGAGCACGAATCAATAGAAGTTGTTATGTTACCTATGTCTATTTAATGTTTTACAACTTGTTATCCGGTATATTTCGATTTATCTCGGAATGGTATCCTAATTTTGTCGGTACGGTATTTTTATATAAAAAAAATTATTCCAAAAGCGGTATTTTACTAGTACAAAACGATTGAACCACGGTCGTGCCACAAAATACCATACCACAGACCAGGGGCGGAGCTAGGATTTGACGTTCGGGGGGCCCGAAAATTATTTAATACTATTACCGCAGAAGGGTGATAAAAAAATTAAAAACTAAGCAAGACAATCAAAGTAAATTTTACTTTTATTAGTATTATGATTAATCATTTTAGATGATTAGAGTCAAAATATTGATGTAGAATAACTTATGAAAGGTCAAAATGGATAATTTTTCAGTGAAATAAAATTGCAAAGTGGTAAAAAAAACTAAACTTGAAATTAAATGAGTCAAGAAATAATATTGAAATAATGAAATGAAGAAACCATAACATGAAACTTGAAAAATTAATTATATCTAATTAAATGAGTCAAGAAATAATAAATTTAAAAGAGTAATTGTGTAGATATATTAAAATAAAAAGCAAATAAAAAGTAACATAATTGCAGAGGGTGGGTATCGAACCCTCAACCAGTTGCATCATAACTCATGTACTCCCCGCTTGACTAAGCCTGCTTTGTTTTAATAAATTTGCACACTAAACATATTAGCCCTTTGTTAGTTTTTACGAAATTTTCAAAATATCGATACAGTTTAGAAGTAACTTTCACGATTCTCGGGGGGGCCGGGGCCCCCCCGAGACCAGCTGTAGCTCCGCCCCTGCCACAGACGAGTCTGGCATGACTTCTGATACAGTTTCACAAACCATGCTAATAACCAAAATACTACTAAATACAAAAAAAAAAAACCCAACCCTAATCCCACTTCACAGTAGCGTTTCGGCTTGAATCCGACCCCATTGGCTGCCCATTCCATGGAGACCTTGGATCTGGAACCAAGCAACGCCGCCCCTTCCCCAACATGTTTCTGTCACCGCCCGTGGTAAATCATCTGAAATAGAGCCTTTTAGGTTCAAGGTAAATCTTCCATTCTTCTCCTATCAACATCTTTGACTCTCATCGGAAGCCTGGGATCCGGGCCCAAACTCGGGGATGGGTCTCATCCCGCCGCGGGCAGTCACCAGAAAACAAATGATTAGGAATAAGAAACAGGTTTGACTGCGTGACTATCACGGTACATATAATATTTTTCTTTAGAAAAACGTGAAAATAAAATAATCAAAGGAAAAATGACAAAATCCAAAATTTAGAATTTAAATATCATTATCAAATATCACCATTAAAGCGCGCAAACTTACGGGGTGGGTAAGGGTTGTGGGACCGTCGGATTTGGTGGGACCCACTTTTTTAAAAAGCCTCTCTCTCCTCTTAAGGAAATTACTCCTGACCCCAACTAGTTGTTTCCTCTTGTGGTGAGGACAGAAGGTCAGTTATGTTACTATCCATCATAAAGCATGCGAAATTCGCCCTCATTATAGTAATTTTCGGCTTCTCTGATGTGGAAAATCGTCGTCGTCAAAAGCAATGAATAATCACTACCACCATCCGATTCTTTTTTTCCTTATGAACATTAAGCATTCTCCCTTTCAAATCTTGGATTATTCGTTGCGTTATGGGACAAAGGCACAAAGCTCGTGGGACATCCGTCGACAAAAGTCAAACGACGTCGTACCTTTGCGAAGAACCTTGCCTATCTTCTTTTGTTTTTTTTCCTTGTTAGAGTACAACCCAATACATAGAATATTTTCGGTAAGGTTTTTAAAATTTTAGGCATCAAATGATAAGATATTAAAAATATATGTACTGAACGATAGTTTTTCTACAATTTATGAATCTACCGATCCAATTGCATATGAATTGAAAAATTAGATTAGTTGAATTTTGTAGTGGATAAATTGAATTGGTGAATTGATTCAAATTACTATTCTCCTCTTCATAAATGTAAAGTCACAACAACCTAACCATATTAACTAATTTTTTTTTTATCTTTCCCGCATAATGCAAAAGAATTTGTAATTCGTTTGATCTAAGTTGTCAAAATGTAAAAGTCACTTTGCAAATAAGATTTCATTTTCAAATTCTCCATATGGAATACAAATATATATTCTCAGTTTCATACAATTTCATCAACTTTGTCAAACATTATTGTATCTCAATTAGGTAATTTGTCTGTTAAAAGATGAAACTGAACCAACACAACAATGGGTATCATAAAAGCATGTTTTTTAATATATTGGAAAAATATGGTGGAATCCATTCTTGGTAACCGCTACCTATCAAGTTGTAGAGTGAGGTTTGTTTTCAATGAGTGCTGGAAAATACATAAATGGCTAAGCTACTATGGGTGAGAATTATTGAACCTAAAGTTATATCTATAAGGGTAGAATGGACCTTTAAAGTCAAATTTACATAATAAGAGTAACAACACATACGTAATTGTACTGGATAAGGAGCATGAATACCAAACTTTACCTCTGTGTGTATTGTGTATCAAAACCAGTGATGTGAGTGTGAGTTTGGAGAAAAAAGAGAAAGGGAAGGTCTGATTAGTGACCTTGTTAGTAGATAGATCCATATCACTAAAAAGTGAGAAAAATGTTTCTGGTTAACGTTTGAGGAAGCACCTTGAAAATGAAACAAACATGTTTATGATACAAAAAAATAACTTCATTAACCCACAAGTCACTCAGACAAACTCATAGACTCTAAGGGGTCGTTTGGATGAGGAATTGTAACGGATCAATTTGACACAATTGTCTCGTTTTGACACAATTGTACCAAATTGCCTCGTTTGCCAGCAAAAAATTTGGATGGATCAATCTGCCTGAGGTATTTTGAATTGATCCGTTTTGAGTCAATTTCAAATACCTGGGGTGGGGGCAGGTAATTCGAATTGACTCGTTTATAAAACGAAACAATTGATCAAATTGACTCATTTCTAGATTGATCCATCCAAACGACCCCTAAAGAAAAAGAAGGTAGAGGGTGAAATTATTTGGACATTCCATGTTCAAGTGGTTGAGAGAGTTCTCTATATAAAAGAAGCAATTCTCACTAGCGATTTTAGTATAGGGCACTTGAATTATGTTAGGGTATGAAAGAGTTACACATATGTAGAGGAATCATATAGGATATTTCACAAATTTAGTTAGTAAATCAATACCAATCATACTATAATGTCACTGCGTCCATCCAACAGACAAAAATATCCCAGCGTCCAATCCAACGACGTTCGACCCTTGCAAGTAATTATCGCAGCCCAAATGTGAGGATAACAAAATTGTATCGCCAGTGGTAAAGAACCGGGTGAGCAATCAAAAGAGAACCCCTTTTCTCCAGAATGGTAGCCCATTTGGCTCCGACTAAATCCCTTTGTCGAATTCAAAATATTTATTGTGGTCAAACTGAAGCAAGGGGAAAATAAAGACCCAAGTAATGTTGACCCGAAAAGGCCAGCGTGTTAGAAAGTTGGCCCTCTTCTACTTTCTCAACTATTTGATCGGTCTTCATTGAAGACCATGAGAAAAATGAATTCAGAAAGAGACAGGCGCAAAGTATCATTCTTAGAATTCCTGCCTCGCCTCCAATTAACAAAGGGGTAATCCATCGCAAAATAAAATTCGTCCAACATAATAAACTACTCGTCACAAAACTTCTCGCCGCGGCTAATGAAACACCAGAGGTTTCAGTAGCTAAAAAGTCACCTTATGTATTCCTGCACTAGTGATAAAATGGGGTTGGCATTCTGTAGTCTGCCAAACCAAAGGCCCTAAACTTTCCTTGTCCAAAAAATGGCCCAGATATATCTACAAAATGTGGGTTGGTGGAGAGGAGCGTCTTCAGCAGAAAAACATCAAAGCCTGGGTGTTTTTGTGCAGCCTAAGGAGCTCAGGAAGAGCAGCAACTCCTCCAGATGTCATGACTTCAGAAGACTTCTCGGACAAGTCGTCGAACTTCATGAACTGTCCAATCTGTGCGACAGTCAGTTTGGCATGAAAGATAGGCGACTTGGCAAGGTTCGAAATGAAACTAAAAAATGTGGTTCTGAGTTAAGAGTGAACATACCGATCGAGATTGCTTTTTTACTCCTTTGTTAGCTGTAAATTGAATAGAAAAAAAGATGGAGCCGTTTAGAGAGTCAAATTTATATTGAAGTGAAACGAATATGATCTTCCCCCGAGTATGAAGGAAAGGATTACACATAGGAGAGGGAGTGAATGAGGTTTTGCAAGACATCAGGAGAGAAACCTATCTCATCAACCAAGACATGGTAATGAGCTGACCTTGAGGTACCCTAGAATACATGCATGAGATTAGTAAAGTTCTCTCATAACCTATGAGGAACGAACATAAACAAATGGTTTCACAGGCATATCAGGGGGACTTACGATGGCGCCATTGTGAGCACTCATTTAGAAGTCGTAGTTTCTGGGGTGTACAACGGTGGTATCCACAACCATTCCCATAGGAGACAGAAATACACTTTGAATGTAACATCCTTACCCTCATAAGAACGATTTTATTATAATGACGTCATTAATGACGAGAATAATTGTATTGTCCCTTAAGTCGGGAATAAAATGATTGTGGTGATTTAGAATAGATTAGTAAGTTAATTTGGAGGTTTGTCAACTTTGAGGACTGAACTGGTGGAGAAAAGGAAATTGGAAGAGTGAATAGTAATTGGGTGTCAAGTGGAGATTGTCGATTTGAGAAGAAGAGTGTTTTAGAGGGATTTTGAAGGAGATAAAAATCTGCCCTCACCCTCCCTTCGTTCTCATCTTTCATTTCCTTCCTTTTTCTTCCAAACTGCCACCAACTCCTCTCCATCACCAACATCTTCCATCATCCCAAAAATCTGGAACTTAAGGTAACTAAAGCAAGTTGGGAGTTGGAGAATAAGAAGGGGAGAGCTTGAAGAGGTAAGAAACCATGGTTGTATCATCTTCTTCCTTTCTCCAAGCTAGAACCCTAAGCCTAGAAATTATTCTAGAGAGAGAAATATTAATTTGTTACTTTAAAACATGTTAGAAATCATGTTTGTATATGTTAGAAGCTAAAAGAAGAATGCTAGAGGTGGTTAGAGTTCAAAGTGGTGGAAGTTCCAAAACCGCGTTTTTGGGTTCACTTGAATTGAGTGTCGACTTTAGAGAACAACTCCAAATAGTCTGAAATTTTGATATATTGTATCTCTATGAATATATTTTAAGTAAAAAAAAAAAGAATCAATCGATTTGGTTGAGAGTTGAAGGAGAAATGGCCAAAACCATGAACGGGGGTATTAATTTCCAGCAAGGCTTTTTAAAAATCAGACCTCAAACATGGTCGGGTTTTGACCAACTAAGGCCGTACTTCTGGGGAGAAACCTGCCAGAAGAACCCGCTAAAAATCCAGCCTCTAGGTTCTAAAAACACGGCCAAGTTTTTGACCATGGAGGCCGTGTTTCCCCCTGTTTTGGCTAAAGAGGTGTTTTCATTTAGCAACTTCGATGCATCCAACCCATATGCATTCATATGATTTATTTATTTGATTTGGTTGATTAAATGTGCCTAAATGGATTGATTAAAGGAAAGGATCAAGTCGGGGAGTCCTCAAAAGTCAAATGACTTGCGGATTAGCGATCGAAGTGTGAGTAAATCTTAACCTATCAACCATATTAAAACGAATATGGTACTCGGGTCACGAAGCGGCCCAAGTATATGAAATGTGAATGTGAAAAAGAGTCAAAGATTGAATTCATTTTGATGGTATGAAGTTGGAAATGCATGAATTGTGGATGAAATATGGGAAGACGTTTTGTTGGATGATATTGTGAATGCCTCTGCAAATTTCTATTGTGCCTATGCAAATCGAGGTTGTCTCTGCAACTGGATTTTTGTAGAATTAGCATGGTTATGTGATCTAATGATGGAAAATGGTTGAAAGATCATGAAGTGGAATAAAATTATCATATGTGTTGGTTTTGTGATAAATTATTGATGTGATGGCGTGACTTAGGTGACGGTGTACTAATATTGAATACATAATGTATGGTCATGCTCGTATGGAATGTTATGAAATGATGCTTGATGTCTGTGATTGAGATTGTGAAGCTCGAATGGGCTTTATGACATGTTTATGTCATGACATAACATCGGATAGCCTATATGGCGATGATGTGACATTGGATGGCCTAAAAGGCCATGATTTGGTATTGGCTGGAAAGGCAACTATATGGTATTGGAAAGCCGGAAAGGAAAGGATGTGGTATCCGATATCCGTAGAGGCGAAAACATATAAATGATTTGCTGATTTATAGTTTGGGATTAAGTATTAATGGATTTTTTGTGTGTTATATGATTGTGTGACTAACAAAGAAAGAATTTCTTGATCACCTAAATCAAACCTAATGACGCCTTGTCATGCACTCTATCTGATTGGATATGGTGGCTATATGCCTAGCTCTCTGGGAGAGCGATACCAGGCGTGGTTATTGGCGATGCTTTATGCATCTATTGGCGGTGCTTTAATGCATCTATTGGGCAGTGCTTTATGCATCTATTGGGTGCCTAAGGCATCTATTGGGTGGTGCTTTACATCTATTGGCGGTGCTTAACGCATCTATTAGCAATGTTTTATGCATCTACGGGTTATACCCGGGGGAGTGCATGATCTGGCAAAAATAAAGGCTAAAAGACATGTAATCTGGCTAACTTCAATGTGTCTATATGTATGTATGTGTGCATGATTTATCATTGAACTATGTATGGTTTTATGAGTAGAGTGCAATGACCATGTGAATGAGATAATGGTTATCTTGGGGAAAGAGAGATAAGAAAGGGGTTTGACTTCACCAAGTTATCATGTTTGTGTTGATATCGTTAGTAGGTTAGTTTTTACTCATTGAGGTGATGTCTCACTCCCGTAAAAAAATTTCCCCTGATTAGAAGTTTTTGGACTATAAGTCAAGGGAACTCAGCAAGACTCAGCTCAGCATCCATGAGGTGGGATGGTGGACTCGGACTCTGACATGACTTGTTTATAGTATTTTGAGAGAAGATGATCTTCTCTACTGTCATGTGCTCTAAAGTTTTAAAAGTTTATGTAAATTATGATTTGTTTTGTAAACTAAACTGGTTTGTGAAAGGTTATAATCGATATGATCTTGTGAATGTTTTAAAGTATGTACAGGGAACCAGAAATCGGAAGTACAAAAACCTAGGATGGAAGCTAACCAGGAGGAACATTGTCAGTGCCTTTAGCCTTGAATAACTTAGTATGGCGATTCTTCTGTGCAATTATCAATGTGAACTTTGGCACATCAGTCTCGCCCAGATGTTGGTAGGGCTGTCAAGGAGTAGATAGAATTTTTGGAATAGACAGTACAAGGAATTAGAAGAAGCTATCTTTATGTTAATTTGTGGCAGACATTGGGTAGTAACTATAATATCTTAGGCGAATTCCACATCAACAAAGCATGAGAGAGATCCATGGTTCATAAGTAAGAAACCGACCTTAACTGACAAGATGCGTTTTGGGGTGAAATGGAGGAGTTCTTGTGAGAACTTCAAAGTTAAAAATGCTCAGTGTGGAATACAAAAAGGATGGGTGAACTTATGGGAAGTCACCTTGAATTGCACCCCAAGTTGAAATCCGTGAGGGTCGAGGCCCAAAGTGGACAATATTTTTCGTCAGGAAAAGGTTCGGGATGTTACAAGTGGTATCAGAGCCTCTCCGCTTCTCTCTTGAACGATGGTGGGGAAAACCTCAAAGAGGACGTTAAGTCCCAATGGGGGTGTATGTAACACCTTAGGCAAATACCACATCGACAAAGCACGAGAGAGATCCATGGTACGAGAGAGATCCATGGCTTATATGTAAGAAACCGACTTTAACTGACAAGACGCGTTTTGGGGTGAATTGGAGGAGTTCTTGTGAGAACTCCGAAGTTAAACATGCTCAGTGTGGAGTCCAACAAGGATGGGTAACATTACAGAAAGAAACCTTGAATTGCACCCCAAGTCGAAAACCGTGAGGGTCGAGGCCCAAAGCGGACAATATCTTCGCTTCCCTCATAGATTTTGACTTGGGGTGAAATTCAAGGTAACTTCCCATAAGGTCACCCATCCTTGTTGTACTCCACACTAAGCACGTTTAACTTCGGAGTTCTCACAATAACTCCTCCATTTCACCCCAAAACACGTCTTGTCAGTTAAGGCAGGTTTCATACTTATGAACTATGCTCCCCCGTGCTTTGTCGATGTGGGATTCGCTTAAGATGTTACATACATCCCCCCCCCCTTGGAACTCAACGTCCTCGTTGAGATTTGTCCCACCATCATTCAAGAGGGACAAGAAGAGGCTCAAATACCCACTTGTAACATCCCGAACCTTTCCCGACGAAGATATTGTCCGCTTTGGGCCTCGACCCAAACGATGTTTGACTTGGGGTGCAATTCAAGGTGACTTCCCATAAGGTCACCCATCCTTGTTGTACTCCACACTGAGCACGTTTAACTTCAGAGTTCTCACAAGAACTCCTCCATTTCACCCCAAAATTTGTCTCGTCGGTTAATGTTGGTTTTCACTTATGAACCATGGATCTCTCTCGTGCTTTGTCGATGTGGGACTCGCATAAATTGTTATAGTAATGCCACAACAAATATTTAATAAGTTAATAGTAAATAACTTATTGAATTGGTTATAAACATTGATAATCTGGGGCAACTCAATGTTCAACACATGATTGAATTGTGACTCACTAACCCCATCTCTGAAATACACAAGAGAAGTTAATAGTAAAATTTATGAGCACTATAAAGCCATAAAACAATTATAGAGAATGCACGCACAAAACAAGTAAAACATGAAAAAATATAAGATATTAAGAAGACAGACTCAGCCAACACGAAGGGAAAGTAATATAAGGAGGGCGTGTATTTAACATGCATTGTACTAGACATAACTTTCAACTCATAGTATTGGCAGGGAAAAAGATGTCGACTACTTAGGACTTAGAGATTGATCAACATGCATCAACAACTATAGATCGAACGAAGAGGCCATTTACAAGCATTGTATTTGTACAGCTAGACATGGAGTAGAGCTACAATAACAAGAATGGTATAAGATCTTGATAAATATATTCTATAAAGCTAAGAATTTGACAAGACATTCTAGATAATTTGCTTCCTCTAAAAAGAACATTTTATAATGGGAAGTGTCGACAAGAGTACCTGAAAAGAACAATTTGTTTAGGTTTCACATTACTCGTCCAATAGAAATTAATGAATAAATCCTTGCAATCAAGAAGAATCACAAACCCTAAGCAAACAAATGATGTAGCCTCATAGTCTTAAATTGTTTTGCAGGATGAAATCATAATTGAAGAAACTCTTCTGCATATGGGGCCTCTGATGCAGAGAATATACAGAGTGCCAAAAATAGATAAGATAGAGGATCAAATCAGATAATCCAAACACTGGTTAGGAAGAAGGGTCAAGCCACAACTCTCTAGG